CACCTAGAAGGGTTGGTTGATAGTAAGAGGCTTGTTAGAGCGATGAGAGGAGATGTTCGAGTGAACTGAACTGTAGATTGGGGGTACAGAGGTCCCCTATATATACTACTGTACATCTGTGGCTACGTAGTACTATACAGTACATTCCCAGGATGCACAGTCGCACAGAGAAGCAGTGCGTACACAGCGAAGCTGTGTGTGTACCACATGAGTAGTACAGCCTCGGTTATTGCAGTAACCGGCTGTGCCGTTCTATATGTTGTGACGGCTGTATTAGGCAAGCTGTGTAAACCAGCGCCTGTTCAACAATATTGCCCGGTATTGCCGATATTGCCTGGTCTTGTGGGATATTGCAAGGTCTTGCAATATATCTACGACATTGCAAGACCACCCATGACAGCGCATGATCTGACGTATATTGCGCGCTCTCGCTGAGTATTGCCTGAACGGGCAATACGGCAAAAGATTTTTACACTTTTGCTGATGGCCAACGGCGACCCGGAGTCGCCGTCCCCATCCGTAACAAAAGTGGTCGCCGTCGAGGAGGAGGACGACGACGAGGGGGGGAGAATGAAGTGTCGCCAAACTATCCGCCCGGCTAGTTCGGTGACGGTGAGGGGATAAGACCGGGATAGTCGCCCATCCGGTCGTAGGAGCTTGCGGGCTTTCCATCCGTCCGGCCGCATCCGGAACGGGGTGTACTTGTGGCCTCGCGCAAGTAGGCGCCGCCGGTCGTGCCGGCAGCGCTGGGGGAGGAGGGACTCGTGACCGAAGTCCAGTAGGGGGAGGAGCGCCCGGGGCAAAGGGCGAATGTGCGCATGCTCAAGGAACTGCGCGGCGATGGCCGTGCGGTCATCTTGGCGGCACGTGAGGGGGAAGTCACGCCAAAGGCGCCGGGAAAGGGCCTCGTGACGGAGGGAGAGCTCGGCGAGGCGCTTGATGGCCTGGCTGAGGGGGAGGGGAAGCTCGTCGGGCGCAGCGTCGCCGAGGGCGACTGGGAGGTCATCGAACGTGAAAGCCGTGGGGTTAACTTGGAGGAAGGCCCGGATGAGGGGGAAAGGGTCGAGCTCGAGGAGGTGAGCGGGTGCGAAGTTGCCGCGGTAGTACGCGGGGCACTCAAACGCGATGTGGTAGTGTGATTGTAGGGGAGGAGGATCAGAGAAACCACATGTGCAAAGTGTGGGTTCCCCTGCCTTGGGGCGAAAGCGGGCGCGATACGTGCCGGAGGGACCGTGGCCGGTGATCGCGCGGACGGTACGTGCGTAGGAAGTGATGGAGAGGTTGCCCATGCGTCTGATGATGGACCCCGTGAGATTGGGAAGGAACGTGGTAGTGGCCTTCGACATGACATAGTCGTGGCCGAAAAAGGAGGGGTCCGGGGTTTCCCCATCCGGAAGGAGCGAGAGCATCTGGAACGCGTCCCAGGCATCAGTCCGGACGAAGTGCTTGGCGGTGGAGTAGTGGGTCTGGGCGAGGCGTTCGGCGGTCGCGGGAGGGAAGTGGTCGAGCCACGTGTCGGGGAACTCGTCGATGGTCGCAATGACGTCATCGAGGAGGGCGTGGGCGAGCTTGTCAGCAGCTTCGTTGCCGTCGATGCCAACGTGTGAAGGGCACCAAGAGATGGTGATGTGATGGTCGGCGGAGGCCGAGAGCCAGTCGTAGAGAGTGGCGGATACCTCAAGGTGGAGAGGGGATCCATCACGGACATGGAAGAGTCCGGAGGCTGCGGAGGAGGAGTCTGTGAAGACAAAGATGTGAGGCTGAACCGTAGTCCCAGCGTAGACGATAGCGTCGCGGAGAGCGGTAAGTTCAGCCGTATAAGAGAAACCAGAGCCGGCGGGGGCGGCGTGCTGGTGAAGGAGTGTGTCGCTGGGGAAGTATGCGGTGAATGAGGCAGTGGTGGGGCGGATGCGGGTGCGGTCCGAGGCGCTGCCTTCGGTGTAGATGACGAGCGTGTCGGGGTCGCGGTGAGCGGAGGAGTTGCGGGGGCGGAGGATGGAGTCGAGCCATTCCGGGAAGGCCTCGGAGGCTTTGGGCGGGTGGTCGAGGTAGAGGGTGATGCGGTCTGGGAAGCGGTCAATGAGGCGATCGCCGGGGCGGCAGAGCGGGTCGAGTGGGTCGAAGTCATGGGTGACACTGTGGTGGAAGGAAGCAAGAGGGGTGGGAAAGTTGGGAGGGAGCGGAAGGAACTCGGGACGCGCAGGGAGGGAGGAAACGGCGCCAAGGCCGGACCGGAAGACCGGAGCGCGGGGGGGAAGGAGGGGGGGGTAAAAAGAAAAGGTGGGAATGGTGCTGTGGACGTGATAGAGCGAGGGGAAGAGGGCTTTAACGGGGTGGGAGGAGCGTAAAGTATGTATGCGGAGACGGTAAGACTGTTGGAGTTTTGCGCAGTAAATAGAAACGGGGAGAACCCCAGAGAGAGCATGAAGGGCGCCAACCGGGGTCATTCGGAAGGCGCCAGTGATCCAGCGAAGAGAAATGTTCTGAGCTACACTAAGGGGCTTGACCAGATGCTTGGCACCCTTCGGGCGGTACCAGATCTGGCAGCCGTACGTAAGGACAGGAAGGACACAGGAGACGTAGAGCCGGCAATGTTGCAACGGGGACAAGCCCCGGAGCGACGAGCCGAGCATGCGGGTGGCGATGGCAGTGGTCGAGGCACGGTTCGCCCAGAAGGCGATGTGCTGCTTCCAGGACAGGGTGGAGTCGAGGAAGTATCCGAGGATGCGAATGACAGGCTGTGTGACTTTTGTGAGCGCCGATCTTCTGCCAAAGATCCGTTCAACTGGTGTACTTTACACCTATTTGACCATTCTAATGCGTTATTCACAGTATTTTAGCGCTGATGTAATTGATTGTCATTTACCCCTGTAAATCTCGAGCTCGCCGGGACCCAGCGCTATTTAGCCCGTCAATCTACTTGGCGGACCTATTTCACCGCGCCCTACATGGCAGGACGCACGTAAGGAGCATTTCGCGCGGGCCTGTTTGTGAACCTCGGCCGAGCTCACTCTTGCCATAATGACTGGCTGAAAGGTATCGAAGGAGTACCATACGCGTCCATCCGCGGTCGAGTAGGGCTCTGTGCGGGCAGTGAGATATACATACAGCGCGGTACATACTCCACACAGGCCGGAGAAGAGGGTGAAAGGTGGCGTGCGTTTGGTGTAGCGACGGACGGTGGCGCTGTCGGCGCGGCGACGCCCACGGGCCACAGGGAACACTCGCAGCAGCCTCGACGGGCCACGGCACACCTCTCCCAGTCGGTCTTGCGTACTCTCTCTGACGTCCCACTTGCACACTCACAATCCAGTGCGAACGAACTTGCTCCCAAGCCGAGGCTGCGGAGCCACCCACACGCCCTGCAGATCGCTGTGCTTCTGTTGACGACTGCGCTCGCACGCCTACTCTGCACTATTCTCCGGCTTTTCTGGCTACTCTCGATCCTCCACGTCGCCTCTTACGGCCGATAGTCTACGCTTCGACCTCAGTCCAAGCTTGTCTCCAGATTGAACTGCTCCCCTGCTGCAGGGCGCTGCCATGGCAAGCACGCCCGAACCCTTACCTTCGCTCCCGCCATCTCCGACTATGGAGCCGCAGATACTACGGCCTGAGGAGGATGTCGGGAGGGCTTGGCACGACGACGAACCTTCGACTGCTGATCTACGAACAGGTCTGAACTCTAGACGGAAGGGGAAGCGGAGGGCTACCAGAGACGAGGATGAGGACGAGGAAGACGATGATGAGGAGCGCGATGGACCGGCGGAGGGGTACCCCCCGACCAAGGAGGAGGAGGCGGAAGCAAGACGAGTGCAAGAGGTGCGTATGTCCGTCGAGTATTCTACGCGACGTTCTTTGCGCATATGCGCCGCCCACCGTATCGTCTGACAACCACCCGCACAGAACCTCCGCCGGTGGGAGATCGCCGAACGCCAACGACGGAAAGCCGCGCGCGAGTCCCTCTCGCACCACACAACGCCCACCCGGGACAGCGTCGCGAACAACGCGCCCTCCTTCTTCGCCGACCTCCTCCGGCGCGACTCCCGCAAGGCGCCCCTCGGCGGCGTCGGCTCGCACCACGCCCTTCCCAAGACAGACCGCGACGGAGACGGAGACGGAGACGCAGAAGCGGTGCCCCTAGAAGACCTCGACCCCCCAACCGCAGAGCAGCTCGTGTCCTCCCCGCCCACCCCCGAGCCCGAGAACCCGTTCGACACCCCCTCCGCCTCCCGCACGTCGCTCAACATCCCCGGCCATTCCGCCATCATGACCGAGAGCGACTCCCTGCCCGACGAGATTGCACGGTCCGGCCCCATAAAGAAGAGCCAGGCCCAGACCCTCGACGTTCCCAGACGGCCGACGCTCGAGGCATCCTCGTCCTTCGCCGAACCGGACGCCGAGAACTCGGCCTCGGGGCAGGTGCAGAGGACGAAGTCGAGGCGACAGCCGCCCCCGCCTAAACCGCTCGACCTGCCCGCACCCAAGGTACCGCCGCCACACCCGGACGCCCCTCATGCACATGTAGACCGGCCCCCGGAGCCGGTTGTGTCGCCGGAACCGCAACCGCAGGACGACGTGGAGACACATAGGCAGGCGCAGGTGCAGGTCGAGAAGGACCTCCCGCCGGTGAGGTGGTGGCATGAGTGGTTGTGCGGATGCGGAGAGGGACCCGAGCGCGGTGGGGACCACCAGGTGCGTCGCTTTTTTGACTTGTGCGTTTTCTGTGCCGTCGGACGCTCATCCTGCCCTGTCTCGGACACAGGCCGGGCGCACGAATCCGTTCGAGTGACCGTATCGTTATGTTGCTTCGTCTTCGTCTTCGATCGCCTTCCTTGTCGTCCCCTGTAGTCTGGACTGTTCTCGTCTGTTTCACTCGTTTTTGGTCGCGTTGATATGCAGGCACACAACTTATATCCCTCCCTCTCTCGATCACGATCACGACACGGACAAATTGTTGTTGGTATTTCATTCCTTCTCTCTCGTTCGCATCGCATGGGCAGTACAGGACGTCCGTCGCATAATGTAGCATGGATTGAGCGCACCTTTCTTTGAACGTCGAGCGCGTGCGTGGTGTCGCGCGCCATCTCGACAAATCTTGATGTCAGCGGCTTGAACACGAACAGGTATCTGACTCACGCGTTATACGTAGACAGGTTAGAGAGGACCAAGGTGCGTGCCGCCCTTGAGTTCGTTCCAGATGACACGCCGGCTGAACGACCCCTGCACGCAGGGTCCGGTAAGTGAGTTAGTATATGTGTAAATGACGTACACCCCTAGCCCGCGTTATCTCTATATATCCTCCGTATTCCGCACGGAGGCGGGGCCGTGCGTGACGCAAGCCCATGGGATTCATCAATCCCACTTCTAGTCCTGATCACGACTGCATTCGCAGGCTCGCAGCATCATCAACACCATCGGGGTCAAGGCGTTTGTTAGCCGCCGTGGAGGCTGGGCGGGCAGCGGGCTCTCCCCGCCGGTCCCTCAAAAGAAATGCACACGGGAAGCACGCCGCCCTCGTAGCTGCTCGTCTGCCCTCCGTTCGACCCCCTCCGGGCTCCTCGTCCGCCGACCTTCGCCCGCGCAGGATAGGACATGGCGCCCGCCCATCGGAAGTCGACCACCACAAGCGTCCATGCAAACGCAAGTGCAAGCTCCAGTGCAAGCACAAACGCGAGCGGAAGCGCAAATGTGGTCCCGACGGCAGGCGCGTCGGCGGTGTCCGCGCCGCCGCCCATATCGGCGTTTGTGGTAGGCCCGTCGCAGGCCCCAGGTATCACGCCATTCTGGAACCCGATCGTCGTGCTCGTTTTCCTCTGGGCCGCGCTCTTCCTCGCGCTCTGCGCGACCGCGGTCTGCCTGTTCGTGCGCGGCCGCCGTAGAGAGGCTCGGGCGCACCCGGTGCGCCGCGTCACGATCGCCGGGACGGCGCGGGCGCGGGGGAAGGCCGTCGCGGTCCTCGCCAACGGGCCCGAGTCCGAAAAGGGCGGGAGCCAGCACAGCGGTGGTAGCAGGGACAAGGACAGGGAAGGGGGCGACGGGGCAGAGGAGCAGGAGCAAGACCTGAGCGAGAGGCAGAGCGTGACGAGGGCGGGTCGAGACCGGGAGGGGGAAAGGACGTCGCCGCCGCCACCAGCGATGCCGCTCGGACTGCCTTCGTGCTCGTCGTCGGGTTCGCCTCTGTCGGCGACGACGTCCAAGTCGCTCGATCCGGGCCAGGAGTCGCAGACGACCCCGGTGCCCCAGGTGCTCGTGTGGTTGCCGTCGTTCCGGAACGGTGCGGGCGGTCAGGCGCAGGCGAGTGAGGTATGTGTCCAAATTCTGCTTGAGCACGAAGGCGATCTTTGCCCCCAACGCCAGCCTTGTCTTTGCTGAAGCAGTTGCTGATGCTGAAGTCAATGCAGGGGCACGGTGCGACGTCATTACGAGGCGGGGTTCTTTGATCGTTCTTCCCGGGGCACGGACTCGGGCTTTCGCACTTGGGATAGAAGGACACACGGACTGGAATGGATACCCGATACACATCTGGACATATCGCAGCTGCTAGACTTCGATTTCTTCACGTGAGTCTTTCCGCTATCACGCCGACGTGTGCTTACGGTAGTCCCTGTGATATAGTCTATATTGTAGCTATGGAGCTTTCACCATCACACCACACGCCATCCCTGGCCATGGGACTCTGTCCACTGTGCTTGCGTTCTTCCCTGTCTACATTAGCCCTGCGTACTAAACTATATAGCAAATGGTTTGAGACATGCATGACCCTCTCCTCCGCTCGTCCTGTTCACATGGCACGACTGTGGACCTCCTAGCTCTGATGCCTGCCCTCAGGCGCACCATGGGATCCGCACTGGACTCATTGGAGGCCGTCGAGAGCCCCGCGAGATGGTGCTTCCATCGCACGCTTACTCGGATTGTCCAGCACTATTCGGCATTCATTCTTGTAGCGGTGCCAAGAGGGCTTCCGCGCAGCGAGGGAGTGAGCACCTGACGTCCAATACAGGCAACTAGATCAGGGGAGGGCGTCCAGTATCTCTTGACATGGTTCCCCGCTGCGCGCCACCCGAGATCTCTTTCTCACAGGAACACTATACTTATGAGCAGTGAGGGCTCGTTATCTCCCTATCCCCCCAGCACTGCATGAAATGACTACCCCACAGCTATTCGACGAATACGACATCATTTTCGCCGGGGGTGAGTTCGAGAACATCGTCTCATCCATGATTAGCACTTACGACTTCCTTCGCAGGCGGGACAACCGCCGGGATAATCGTCGGACGCCTGGCAGCCGCCGACCCGTCTTTACGGATCCTCATCCTCGAGACGGGGCCGCACACCCAGGACGACCTTTCGCATACCCAGCCCGCCCGCTTCCTTACGCACCTGCAACCCGGCTCCAAGACTATCAGGAACGTCGTCGCGAAGCCAAGCAAGCACCTCAATGGCCGCGAGCTCGCTGTGCAATGTGGGCAGTGTGTCGGGGGAGGCTCCAGCGTGAACTGTGAGCATCTCCCATGCGGTAGAGCGTCTTGAGGAGTTTCCTCTGAATTGGAAGGATGTGCTGCGCAGTCGCTATGTACACCCGCGCTCCCGCGTCCGACTACGACGACTGGGCGCGCCTGTATGACAACCCTGGGTGGAGCTGGGCCGACCTGTTGCCGTTGATGAAGAAGGTGCGTGCATACGGATCATGTGACGCGCCTCCCAATAAAACTCGCTCTCCCCGTCGGGACCCTTTGGCAGGCGGAGACGTACCAGAATGCCCCGAACAGGCCCACACATGGGTACAGTGGCCCTCTGAAGGTGTCCTACGGCGGCAAGCGCACCAACGTTGGGGAGGACTACATCGCGACGGTGTCCAAGTACGATAAGACACGAGTTATCGTGGATGACGCGAACCGAATGGTCGACGACGTCAACCGTCACGAGGTTCGGCTTCGCCTTCTCTTCCCATCGGTCCCTCCAGGCTTGACCTTGACATTGTGGGATGCATACTTATAGTTTTGGCCCAAGTGGATCGACGGAAATTCGGGCCACCGGTCCGACGTCGCGCATAACTACCTCTATCAGGTCCTCAAGACGGGGACCAACGTTCATCTCCTTCCAGGCTATTTCGTCAAGAAAGTCATTATCGAGTAGGTGCTATGTACAATCCACCCTACCACCTTAAGCATCCTGGTCTGTGCAGGGACGGCAGGGCGACTGGAGTCGAGTTTGTGCGCAATGCCCAGGTTTTTCCCGACGTGGATGGAACAATCCGTGTTGCACAATCAAAGCAGCTTGTCGTCTTGTCCGCTGGGGCATTCGGTTCAGCCGCTATCCTCGAGCGCTCCGGGATAGGTCGGAAGGATGTTCTCGAGCGCAACGGCATCGAACAGAAGGTTAACCTCCCTATGGTTGGCGAGAACTACAATGGTAAGAACGACTCCGCCTTGCACTGAGTCTTTAGGACATGAGCTGAGTTGCGCTGCTGCCTGACAGATCATCACCTGTTCTTCCTCAACTTCCACGCAAGTGAGGACGCCGAAACCATCGATGGCATCGTGAGGAACGACCCTGGAGAAATTGAGAGTACGCACCATTTTGCCACAGAGAGGCTTTGCTAACGTGGTATAATGACCCCGCGATGCATCAGAATGGTCTGCGCAATGGAGCAAGGATGGGAAGGGTCTCATGGCAACGAAGTAAGCGTCGCGTGTTCTCCACTTACAACTCTGTCCAAGCAGCACCAACTCACGACTGCCTTCATAGCGGCTGCGACGGTGGGATGAAGTACCGCCCCTCGCCAGAAGAGCTGCACAAAATAGGGCCCGACTTCGCAGACTCCGACCTGTGGAGGTCCTTTTACGCCCCGTCCCCGGACAAGCCCGTCCTCTTCATCGGAATGATTTCGCAGTAAGCATTGCTCCCTTGACTCTTCCTTCACGCCTACGTTATACTTATGGGTCGTGCCATAACTTTGCAAGGTATGTGGGTACGGCACCACCTCCGCCTGACCACAAATGCTACTGTACCTTCGCGTACCTCACCTACCCTGCCGGTACCGGCTCTGTGCATATCACATCCGCGGACGATGTCACCGCCCCTGTCGACTTCGACTCCGGCGTGTGCAGTCGGTGCGTTTTCTGTCCCTCTTCCTCCATAGTCTCCCGCATTCATCCTCGCTCGTGACGACTTTTGCAGAAAGGAAGACTTCGCGTTGATGCGACACATGTACAAAGTCTGCCGCGAGTACGGGCGGCGCATGGATTCTTACTGGGGCGAGATCGCGGCCGATCACCCCAAGTTTGCCGCGAGCAGCGCTGCCGCCGTGCCTAAGGCTCCAGTCCGGCCCGTGAGCATCGATGCGGTCGACATCGTTTACAGCGCAGAGGACGAGAGGGCTCTTGACGACTTCATCAGGTCAAAGGGTATGCGATCTCCGAGTGGACTGCGTGTTGACTCTACCTAATTTCGCTGGCATTCTGTAGTTCAAACAGCGTGGCATTCGGTGAGCATATTCTCTGTGTGCTTGCTGTGGGCGAGGGGCTCAATAAATGAATACCGACAGCTAGGAACGTGCGCTATGAAGCCTCACGACAAGGGCGGCGTGGTCGACTCCCGGCTGAATGTCTACGGTGTTCAAGGCCTGAAGATCGCTGACATGTCTATTGCTCCCTCCAACGTCGCTACGGTAAGTGAATACAGCCAACTTGTCCGAGCCTTACCCCGATATGGGTTCCAGAATACCTACTCGACTGCAATTACCATCGGAGAGAAAGCAGCGATGATAATCGCCGAGGACCTCGGGATCAAAGGTGTTTAGCAGGTAGGATGTTGTATAGGAGCGCCGAGATCGTAATGTTCACTTGGGTTTGAAGTTATCTGTACCATCAGCAAGTCTCAGTGCGCAAGATCAAAGCCGGTCGCAGACTCCTTGAGCTGTCCGCGCTCACACCGCCCTTCCTGGCCTTGTCTTCGATACATCCGCGTCCTCGTTCTCTCTGTATCCATCATCAACGAACGAAGGCCGTGCCCCAAAGCCCAATGAAGCGGATTGTGTTGCTCGACGTTGGTGCTTTGAGTGTAACCACTCTACTGGCTTGAGATATTACTCCAGAAGCGATCACAATCTTGCGTTGAACCTGCTGTTCTATGTTATGCGTGCCCAGTCAGACAACGCCACCACCGTCCGATGATCTGGTTGCAGACTTCGCCGACCTGCTGCCAGTCTTTCGCATCTGTACTATTGAATTCGAAGAGCTGCGCTGCCACAGGGACGCTGTGACCTCCCTCGCACCTCGTGTGCAGCGATCCGACATTCCAAACCTCGTACTTTGGGACGTGTGGTGGCCGGTAGGGTTGGTCTTAGGCCAGGGGGCGCTCCGCTCGCTGCGGATTCACACTTTTGCCTGCAAGTGCCTAAACCCCTAGTTCGTCGCCGAGTTTCTCGGGGACCATGGTCAGAAATATTTCGCCCTTCGACGTCCTGGTTGGCATAATCAGAGAGCGTTGTGTAGCAGAGATCGATCCGCCGATGGCCAATCTCATGCAGATTGTAGGTAAAAGTTTGTCATTATGTAAAGCGCTTGAGACGCTGGTACTCCGCCTTCCGACTTTGACCTTGCGGCATAACGGATTCGTGCCCGCCTTGCTGGGCACGTTAAAGGCCAGGATGCTCCGCAAGCTCGTGCTCCATACCCCGACAGACTCCCATGTGTGGGGCATGCCTGGTGTTCGTGACCGTTGGGATTGGCAGCAGATCGATGCTCTGTTATCTCGCAACCCATATCCCATGCTCAGTAGCGTCGTACTCATGCGCAACTACATCCGTAAAGGGGAAACGCTGGACAGTCTCTACTCCGCAGCTGCGAGGATACTGCCCACCCTGCACGACATTGGCCTCCTGCAAGTGCAAGTTGTTCCATATGTTTGAATGCCATTGCAGGAGGTTCCGTAATCATCGTCTGCTACAAGTTTCGTACATGCGACCTGCTTGACACTGTCACATGCATATGTATAAAGCTCCGTACGTCTCATGTGCGACACCCAAGAAAATCGTTAGGATACTGGGATGCGGATCCACTCATGGGGAAGGCATTTGACATCATCTCCTACTGCGGCGGCAGAGATTAGGGCGTCTGTTACTGCCACCTAGTAAGATCCCGGAATAGCGCCTGGGCTCTTCATCTCACGTAGGCCTCACTTTTAGGGTACTCTCACTCAACCTACCGGGCGAAACGCAGCAAGACAAAGATCAGATACATCGGCTGCCACCATCGTCTGGCATCGCAGCGCGATCTAGACATTGTCATCGCTTTACCTGCCTGGCGCGCTCGGGACCTCGACATTGAAGACGAGACGAGTTATTCACAATGGAAGAGCGTAAGTCCTCCAACTCCCCAAATGCGCTCTATCTCTTAAGTCAGGGGTGTCCAACAAGGTGTCTCAATTTCAGCAGCTCCCTTTGAACTCCTTCTCAGTATCTTCTCGTTCCTTGAGAACGACAAACAAGCTCTCGCGTCTTGCACCCTTGTCTCGAAGGCATGGCGAAATCTGGCTCTCCCTCTCTTGTACGCAACGATGAAGTTCGAGAGCGCTAGGCCCGACACTAGCTTCCTCGAGTTTGCTGAGCAGCATCAGGACCTCACCGGCTACATCAAGCACTTGACACTCTCAGGGCAAGGCCTGCGTTGGGGAATCACGACGACCCCCGTGCTCAATCTCGATGCGCTTGTGTCGATTCTTTCAAAGCTACCTGCTCTCCTGCGGCTTTCTTTATCCTCCTTCCGTTTTGTCTCCCGGACCGACTCTCAGATGGAGGGGCCCCGCTCGACTCCGTTCGCGCTCAGACGCCTCGATGTTCTCGACTTCTGTCAAGCCACCTCGTTGCGTAGTGCAGTCGCCGATCTTGCCGACCTGTTGTCAGCCTTCACCGTTCGCACGCTCGAGTTCGGTCGAGTGCATCACTATAGAGTCGACAACACGGCTTACGGCACTGCTTGCGCGCACCGGTTCGACGTGCCGAACCTTATCGTTTGGGGCATGTCGAAGGAGATAGGCCTGGTCGTGCGCCGGGACACGCTCCGGTCGTTGCGGGTTCGCCATCTGCTCCGGTGGATGGTGCCGGAGTACATAGTCGTTTTCCTTCGCGACCATGGTCGGAACATCACCGAGCTCGATCTCGACCTCTCTTGGACCCAGGGGCTCGCTTCTCGCGGTGAGCGGTCCTCGCACTTGGCACACTGTCCGCATGCTGAGACAGTTTGCTGTACACCAGCCCCCCCTTCGCCGTCCCCGCAGCTCATGCAAGCAGTAGGCGAAGCAGCCTCCTCATGTAGAGCGCTCGAGGCGCTGGTCCTCCGCATCGACGAAGTGCACCCAACAAATAGCCTGGTCTTCTCCGGTTTGCTTGGCACCCTCGAAGCCGGGGCGCTCCGCAAAATTGTGCTCTCCGTAGACAGAGCGTTGTCCGTCTGGCCCTTGCATCTCGAGAGCGACGAGGCCGACGAGGGCTGGGATTGGAAGGCGGTCGACACGTTGCTGTCGCGCGCTCGATACCCCATGCTCGATAGCGTCGTGCTTGCGCCGCAGCGCCCCAGGGCAGGGGACACCCAGCACAATCTCTACTCCGCGGCTGCGAAGATGTTGCCTGCCGTGCATAACGCTGGCCTTCTACAAGTCGCTTTATGTGTTTAAACACGTCGTTGCGAGAGGATCCTGTCTATGTCGTGGCAGCGGGATCGTCTCCGAGTCCCGGGGCCAGCTCCTGTGAACATCGCCTGTCCAATAGTGGCACACTATTGTATGCAACGCTCCACCTCGATGCCAGTCTGACTATGGACGCCCTATTGCGCTTGTCTCGAGCGGCTACAGATGACGACGAACCTTGCGATCGCTGAGGTTGCCTATGCAGTGACATCATCTTCGGTGACATGTCCTCGCTCCTCAGCAACTGCCCAGATGCATGCGGACACGTTTCGCAGGTGGTTCTTATCTCTCTGCATGGTCGGGTCAAGGTTGACGCAACCTGTCTCGAAAGTTACCGGATTGGGCAGGTATGGTGGGGCGGTGAGTACGGTGACGCCAGCGGTGGTGCACAGAGGAGGCGGCCCCGTCGCCTCTTCTCCTCGATCGTAAACCATGGTGCCTGCAGTCAAGGTGGATCCAATGACGACAGCTACCATCGGAGCCACAGCATAGTATATAGGAACGCTCGCTCACCACGTCGCCCTCACATACTTTCACGACTCCCATCTACGACACAACTCTGCTGTTACGACTACCTACACTTAATCCCACTCAGTAACGACCCACCATGTCTACTCTCCCTACCACCAAGAAGGACATCAGCGAGCACCCCGCCGCGGCCACCGTGACCGAGCCCATCGACCGCCAGAAGCTGCAGACCGACGTCGACCGCAAGCTCCGCCTCTATGGCGCGTTCCAGGCGATGGGCGAGTCGCGCCTCCCGACCAACGAGCAGCTCGACCGCGTGCTCTCCTACCTCTCCCACTCCTCCATCTCCAAGGCCGACGGGCTCTCGCCCGACGGCCAGAACCTCGCGCGCGACGCGCACGACATCTTCGAGACGCTCCGCCGGCTCGTGCTCGAGAAGAACGCGGACGAGGTCCTGCAGAACTTCGTCTGGCACACGCGCGACACGAGCTTCGACCGCGCGAAGAAGGACCCGAACCAGGTGCTCCCCGTCGACGGCGCCAAGGCGAAGTCGGACGCGCAGCAAGGCGTCCAGCACCTCCGCACGCTCCTCTCCCTCGTCTTCACCAACGCCGAGGTGCGCAAGCTCGTGAACGACTTCGGCGTCATCGGCCGCGATTTGCTCGCGCGCGGCGCGGAGAAGGTCGCCCAGAACGCGCGCCCGAGCGAGGACGCTCTCCGCGAGGTCGACCAGCCCGGCCCTGAGCACAAATTTGTGACCGAGGTGCCACGTGAGATTGGACCTAACGAGACGCCTGTATGTATTTCTTAGAGTTCTTATCCACACAGCTTGTTGCTGACCTGTCGTTCAGGTCCCCGAGTTCCAAATTCCCGGCACTGATGCACGCATCGCTCACGACCCCCGTTCGGACGACCCCACGTCGGGAACGAAGTTCAAGCACGGTGACGAGGTCAAGCCCGGCGACCAGGCATTGAACGAAGCACAGCAGAAGAAGGACGAGTTCGAAGGCCAGGCACAGGTAAGCGATCCAGTCTCTACGCATGTCTTGAGCTTGTCCACTCACCGATGACGTCACGTTGTGTAGACCGAGGCGCAGCGTCATGCGCAGGACCTCCAGCAGCGCGCGCGCGTCGGCGAGCCCCCTCAGGATGAAGGCGATGTCCAGGAGCGCAAGGCCGGCATCCAAGGCAAGATCTCCGGCATGAAGGATTCGCTCCTTGGACGCGTGCCAGATGAGCACAAAGATCGCGCGAGGGAGCATAAGGACCGAGCGAAGAACTTCACCGAGGAATACTTCCCTCCTGAGCGCCGCGACCAGTTCATTTACCGTCTCAAGAAGGTATGTGTTACCGTACGTTGTGCGTTTTATCGTCGCAGCTGCTGAGCTTTCATCGTGACGCAGGTTGTCTACGAGTGCCAGAGCCATGACGACTACCAAGAGGCTATGACCTGGCTACTCAATTTCGTTGAAGAATACGTATCGCACGGCCGCACCATCGCGAACCACGGCAAGGACTCGCACCAGCAACTGTCGAGCGACCCCAACTTCCAAACGTCCCTCAACGAGATCCGCACCCTTCTCGAGCGATTCGCGAACGGGCGCAGCCTCGACACGATCGGCGAGCCCATGCGCGTTCTCTACGACGACGCGCAGCAGGACGAGCGGCTCCGGCACTGGTTCCGCGAGGTCGACGAGTACATTCGCGAAGCGCTGCTTCAGCCTGGTTACATTCTCGACGACCAGGCCAACGAGCGTGCGCGCGAGCTGAAGGACACCGGTCGCCAGTTCTACGACGGCAAATACAAGGGCCACTTCGACAATCTGTTCAACAGCGTGCAGGAGTGGTTCGCCGCGTGGGCCGACGACCCGCTCAACCGACAGTAAGCCCTCATCCCAGCAAGTCTCAAATGACCACAGACATTGACACATTCATCCCAGGATCGGGACCAACTTCGCGCAGCTCGCGAAGGACGCCTTGTTCGACGCCGATGGCAACCTCACGTTCAAGCCAGAGCTCTGGGCCAATGTCCGTCAGAAGATCATCCCCGGCTTCATCGAGCAGCTGGGCTACATCCCGATCCCGCGCATCGAGTACACCGACGACCAGATCGACCTCGTCATCGAGAATCTCGCTCTTTCTGGCAAGAACATCTTCCCCAACCTCATCACGATGGAGACACACAACTTTGCGAAACTCAGCGCTTTCAACAACATCAAGTGAGCATGGCTTCTTGTCGTCTTTCCGAGGCAATCATGCTAATGAAATATCTCAGGAACGAGACCCATCACGAGTTCACATTCCACCTCTCTCAGATGCAAGCCGACTTGCGCGACGTTGCTTTCTACTTCCGCAAGAAGACCGGCACGCCCAAGCTCACCGACTCGGGCGTCGCCGACGTCCTGCTCGGCGGCGAGGGTCTCTCAATCACTACGCACCTCCGGTCGGCTGGCAACGACACCTCGTCCGTCTTCCACGTCAAGGACGTGCAGACGTCGATCCACACCCTCAAGTTCGCGATCCGCGACTCGAAGCACGACACGCTCTACAAGGTCCTCGCGCCGCTCGCGACGGGCCTCATCAAGAAGCAGCTGCAGCGCGTGATCGGCAACGCGGTGCGCACCGCGCTCGAGTACATTGACGGTCAGCTCGTGAGCGCGCGCGACCAGATGGCGGAGGCGAAGGCGAGCGAGGACAAGTCGCGCCGCGACGTTCTCCTCCAGCAGCTCACGCAGCGCAAGCAGCAGGCGGAGAAGGCGCAGGAGAAGGTCGGGCAGTTCAAGATTGCGACCCGCCCCGGGGACGAGATTCTGCCCGAGGTCAGCCATCCTGAGGGATGGGTAAATCGTGCCGAGCAGCAGGCGAAGACCGCCCAGCAGGGAGAGGAGTGGCGTAGCGAAGCGTGAGTTGCTATTGTTTTTAGTATCGTGGTCATGCCTGACGAATGGATCGCACAGGTACAACGTCGTCTAAGCAAGAAATCGGAAGAGTATACTTACAAGCGTACGAATAATTCAGAGGTGAATAGGACTTAGACCGCTGTATCCATGCTATATCATATGTACTTTACCACACGAACAATACATGCCTAGCTGCTAATTAGCCGGTGATTCCTCTTCAGTGTTTGCTAGAGGTGTCGTTAGGTAGCTTGATCGAGAGCTCTGAGTATTCTAACGACAAAATGACGCCTGATCCATCTAAGCGTTCTTCATTCATACTCGAAGACACAGTCTCATAATGCCCATGTATGTAGCGCAGCGCAAGAGCCTTGGTTGATATCGGCTACAGATCTCGTGCATCGGGTTGACTAACCGCCTGCAATGGACAGCGGGAAGCCGAGTAAACGGTATGAAGAAATATCGGCTTTGGAGAGGATCACCACCACGCGCCTCTAATGCACATAAAGCACACAAAAGCCTACCGATAAAGGAGAAAGCGTCGCATATTCGTGTGCAGCTTACAAAGGAGCGCCTGCTAGGAGGATTGCGGCCAGAGTGCCAAGCGAGACATACAACGTCGAGCCGTCACTCTGACCATGCGACAGGCCCGAGTTCGCGGGGTTCAATCCATTTGTGTCTATCGTGGAGTTCGAGCCGCTGGAGCCTGTCGCGCCTGTCGCGCCCGTAGCCCCAGTAGTTCCCGTGGGGCCTGTGGCTGAGCCGGTGGGAGCATTCGCAAGCGCGAGCTGCAGACGACGTTAGCGACGATAAGTTTGGAGGAGCAGGATGACGACATGCCAAAGCGAGGTGGCCCCCAACGACAGGCCGCGCGTGGCCGGAGTTCGCTACCTGGGTGCCGTCGATCGTGTCATACAAGTCGCCCAGAGGCTGGTTGTTCTTTGCATCTGAGGCGTAGTTCAGTACGGCTCTGACGAACTGGTCTCGGACGGTTGTCGAGGTGACGGTACCCGCCGTCCAAATTTGCCAGTCTGTGCACATGACCATGAGTGCGGTTCTAAGGGAGCACCACCATAGAGGTCTTACCGGACTTGGAGTACGTGTGGCGGGTGTCGAGCGGTACGCCAAATGCGTCTGTATCATAAGGGCGTTAGCGAGGTCAGCAGAGAAATTTGCCATGAAGCTCACTGTCTTTCTCAGCATACCACGCGGTCTCTATTAGAAACAGGGGCTCAGTTTGCGCTCATGATCACGAAACGGACTCAATACACACGCATGTCATACACGGATGACGGGAAGATGTTCGTCCCGAGTAGCTTGTCGGCGTAGAGGTTGTATGCAATACCCCAGCTTTCGTCGTCATCAGCTTGTATATTCTACGAAACCGAGGAATTGAAAGAAACCTGTTGCTATCGCCATACTTCACCAGGGGCATCAGTCGATTCTGTTCAACACCTATGGATACGGCGACGTACCGAGAGCGTCAAATGGGAACCATCGGAAGACGTAGCCAACTTCTGCCACTGTTGTACATACGAGGCTGCAATCAACTGCAATATAGAGGTGAACCTACATGGCGAACGCTGAGATGCAAAGAAACGTACGCTGTAGTTCGAGGCTCGCGCCTCGTCGTCGTTGAGTTTCGCGATCTCAGCCATCGCTTGGATTCCGATGATGCCCTTGATCGCGAGGTTCGTCTGGTTCGCCAAGGCGCCTGCGAAGTCATCTGTGCTGAGCTGATTGGCGGGAATCAAAGAGTCCGTGATGAGGAACTGAGTCCATTGGTCGAGTAGGCTGAACTGCATGGTGGAACAATGAAGATGAAACCCATCCAAATGGGGTGACCATGGTAGGAGTACTGACGTAAATTTTGATTCAAGATAGATCGCCTGTCCGCTGGGCGTAGCTGAGCGTCATGATGAGCATGTTGCCGCTCTCTAACAAGCCAGAAGTTGATTAGATGCGGCGTAAGCACTGAAGGCGTGAAAATACCTTCGACCGGCATAGCCTCGTCTTTGCCTATAGTTATACGTTCAGGCAAGCCACAGCGAGCCATCTGCGAGGCTACTTACCATCGTTGTGGCCGGTGGCATTGGGGTAATGCGCGCCTGCGTGAAAGTAGTGAGCATTCATACTAGGAGTGAGTGGAATAACAGAACGGACCCATGTCGTGTACACTATACTGGTTGGGGTATTGCCCTGTCGTCTGATATTCAAACAGGGGAAGAAGCAGCTGCTTGCCGAGAGTCGCGTTGGTGTAGAGGAACAAGGGCCAAGAGGGGTATATGACGTCCACAGTGTTGACGTTCTGCGTAGGAGTCAGCGTCTGAACCGTCCTTCAGTTAGACGATAAATACCCCATCGCTGGAGATCTCTGAGCCAGATTTTCGTACAATTGATCAATGGGAGTATATATACGATGTTGCGCACCCTTCATGAACATCAGCGTGTTTGAATTATCGAGCGAGCCGTCGTTGTTTTTCGTGACGGTAATCTCGGTAGCTCCGAAGGCTTGCCGGATGGACAAGGCCACAAGAGATGCATAGTCGGCTGAAATTTTGCTAGCATCAGACTTGACTTGAGCATCGAACGCATTGGCTCGCGCTAGAGCGTTAGGATAGTCGTTGAGGAAGGTCGAGATCTTTTCGAAATGCCATGAGTAAGGCTGAATCGAAGCGATATTCCTCCACAAACTTACTGCATCGCCGATGCTAGCGAAGCGTGTCCAGAAGTACGAACTCCGAGCTTGCGTATCTGCGTTCACGATGATGTACTGGACCACGGGATCGCGCACATGGCCGATGGAATAGACGACAGGACTCGTGGCGGACGTGACGGCACCGAGGTCATGCGCAAAGGCGAAGACGGGCCAGCGGTCGCTTACGGCACGGAATGATGTGTCTTGCGTATTCGAAAGCGTCCCATTGGTAGCGAATTGGGCTCGGACGACAACATCTTCACCAGTCTGAAAAGTGGCACCGACCGTCTGGTAGAACATACGTTAGAGCACAACCCCGTTGAAATGGCGGTGGCGGCTCACGTTGAGCGTAGAGTGGAAGGCAGAACCCTCTACAGTCAGGTTAGGACTAGTCGACAAGACTTAGCATCATAACGACCCACGTTGGATGCGATCGTTGATCTCGGTGTACGTGGTCTGGATAGCCAGCTTCACCTCATGCGAGAGCACATCCCCGGTTGTTGTAGCCCAGTTGACGATGAGGGTGTCGTCGCCGCTCACCCATTCCGCGCTGATATCTGCATACACTTGTACGCTGTGCGACTTGCCGTCAGTCGACGCCGCAGATACCGAGTAGTAGGACAAAGGAAGGGACTGGTTCACGAAGTCTGAAGGCTGCACAAGTATCGTGAGATACTACAGAGGAGAGGGAGAGAGACGATGCTTAGTGTTACCTCAATTGGGCTGAGGAAAGTTATAGTAAGATCGACGGGTCCTGCCGTCATTACAAACACGCTCTGGGTGGAAGTGATCTGTGCATACACGACTGAGAAATGTGATTCTGAAAATCAAGACCGCCACGCGATGCTTACCTGCAAACTCTGTTGCGTGGCCTTGGTTGTATTAACATTGGGGATACCAGGCTGTCCCATCCAGATGTAAGCCTGGCCATCCACCTTGGCCAATCCGGCCCATCCGAGGATCTGCTGAGATGTCGGCAAGTATGCGGACGGGAATTGATCTGCATCTTACGGAGCCAGTCCAGAACGTCGGCCACGCGTCGTTGAGCGCTGTGCCTTGACCTTGAGCAAGCCATGCTGAGAGGTAGGGTGACCTGACAGCAAGTGGAACAGAGGCGGGATTGAAGGGTTCCGCATTCCAGGTCGCGGCACCGAGAGCTGTAGCCGCATTGAGAAGGATAAGTGAAATGGCGAAGAGACGCATCATGGCCCAGGTGGATCTCGAGTCACGAAACGCGGTTGCCGTCAAGTCTTTGGACGTGTGATACTTATGGCAGAGATGTTCCCGCTGCGATCAAAGCAATGCACCTGCAAGACCAGGGCGCAGTGTGGAGGGGCACTCTCAATGTCGAATCGGGCCAATGCCGCTTCACAGTCCCTCTAGTAATAGCCGTCAAAGATGAACTACACATAAAGAAAGAGTATCGCCTCACATTCCGCAAGGACAGCAGCGCGCAACGAGTGTGTGTGGTTTCACGGCAGGAGGCGTTGCCAGGGAAGCAATCTCCCGCATTCACCGCCGTGACAAGGAACGGACCTGCGAAGCCGCACGTAAATAGCAAATCAGATGCACATTAAGGACCCACCTGTCTTTGGATACGAGATCGGTTGTCGCCTGCTGTGGAAGAGCTAAAAGAGTTGTAGAAGAAGCTGTGCGTCTAGGCCACAGCCAGGACTTAGAGTCCTTGAGAAGATTCGTTGACCACGTGTAGTATCCGTTGAGCCCATACGATGCCTTCCACACGGTCTAGTCTCAAAATGGCCAATAAGTAAAAGTTGAGCAAAGGAGACGACGATGACAACCGTTATCACTGCAGTCTGCAAGTTTATTGATAATCATTTCGAAGAAGCGCCAGTCATCTTAGACGCCAAGGCACCGTTCTCTACAGGTGTCCCCTTTTCCCACACTGTGCCATGATATGTAGCCAAGGACTCGAAGGACGAAGGGTTTAGTTATATGTGAGACGTCACCTGATGACAGTGTTGGCTGGATCGGTCCTTGACCCCTTGGAGATCAGATTACGAATTTGGTAATCAAGACGCTCACGAGGTGCATTGAAGGGACTGACGATCGCACCACCCCGTTGGTGAAAGAAATGCGTCCGAATTGCAATACTCACTTTCATGCGATCTAAAACTCCGAAACTTAATTCAAATTTTCTACGATCTGACAACCCGTATGAGCGAAGAATAAGACTCTATGCCATGTCCATTACTATTATCCATCTAACTCAAGAGTTCAAGGACCTAGGGAAGGTAAAACCTTAGTCCACTCATCCAGAGACGCGCACGTTGGATGGACTCACACAGCGGGGATCGTAGTGACAGCGCCTACGGTTACAAGCTCATCAGATGGGATGAATGGAATGGTTGCGCGATCGACTCACCTCCAAGCACAGACACCGTGGGGAATGGAGTCGAAGAGCATGCAGCTTGGATGTCATCCGTCGAGAGACCTGCGGGGATGAACGGATCGGCCACAGTTCCGGTTGCAGTGGGGATGACATCGGAACAATCGGTGAGTGTGGACTGGTCGAAACCGAGCAGTGAGAGCTTCAGCATGACCTGCTCAAAGCGCGCCAGCATGTTCGCACGGTCCGCTGCAGAACACAACGTTATTACAGATTCAGATCACGATGCTGATGCTTAGGCCACGCACAGATCATCTTCTGCCACTCGCAAGAGGTACGATCATCCCTGTAAGTCGAGAGTTCAGCTCATTTCCGGCGCTGCTACGGCTAATGACAGTTCCACTCACCGAGCGATCAGGAAGTCAGACTGCAGGCGGAACTCTCCGGGGTAGGGCGAGAGTGCCTCGTCGGGGCTAATGCCGTTGCCGGGCGTGAGCGTACCGTTCAATAAGGTCTCAACGAAGAATTGAGCATCGAAATCCGAGGGGGTTGAGTCGAACGGAGTGCCAGGAATCGACTACAGCACAAAGGGGGGGCATCAGGACACCCATCCTCTCACATATTGTGCCGTAACTACTTACGTCGTCCACACTATCCTGGGCGCCGACCGTGTGAGAGATGAGGAGCCAAACGAGCTCAACGGCGTTGAAGCCAGCATCACCCACCCGGTTCAGAATGGTGGTGACATCGTCAGACGGGAGAGGAACGAGACCGTGGGGAGCAGCCTGCGAGTCGTTGGAACGGCCAGCAAAGAATGAGATCTGGGGCCCTCCGTTGCAGTTAGAGACACCGACAGCGCCGGCGAATTGGATGCTAAGAGAACAACATCAGTTTATCGGCGTTGATCTGAATACGTTCAGGAGAGCGTACAAGTCGCCGAAGGAGACATTGTGTTTGAGGGCAAACGGGCGCTGAAATTCGATGATGTCGTCGAGACCGTTGTTTGCAGGATCAGCTAACTCATCGGAAGTATGCGCCATGATGGAGCCGTCTGCAAACACATCTAGCATGACAACCGAAGGCAAGCCAAGATGTAGTGCTTACCAGCACCTCCGCCACTACAAAACCATCAGTACTCAGCACAGGAAGAGATTGATACTGAAGCTCACCCAAACTGACCCGCAGCCGTAAGAGCAGGGGAGAATGCAATCGCGTCATGGAAGGTCAGCTGTCGATCGTTGCTCAGTTAGTGCCTTGTTCCCCGGAGGACATAGTGTTTTTACCCTTAGGGCTTCGTGGGCATCCTCGCCACACTGTCCGCCGTGGAACCTGTTCAGGAGCGTGAATTCAAGGCGATGCAACGAGTATTGAGCGACTCACAGATTCTCCTGGATGTCATCTAGGACATCGAACCAGACGCAGCACTGCTCCTACTGTTAGTGTTGCGCTCAGTCATAGCAACGATGGAGCCACATACCGCGGCGTTAGCGGTGGTCCGGCCACCGCTGCACGTCGCACGCTTGCTCACCGACGGGACGGCGGCAGCGACAGACGCAACGAGGACAGCGAGCGAGATGACAACTCTAGACAGCATAGCAAGATCGCTCAAGGTATACGAGAGTGTTTGTGCTGCTGTCCTCAGGAACAATGGGTGCCTGCCGATGCAGATTCCTATGTTCCCTGCACCGACTTTATACTGAGGTCTTCAGTCAGAAGTAGCGGTACGCGCTATGCGAGCGGGACCCGGCTCAACGTCGCATCCGTACCGTCGGTGAACGGAGCGCTTGCCATCCTCTAGTCGGACGAGGAGATGCGCGGATCGGGCCACGAAGGAAAGGACTCAACACGTTTCGTCACGTCAAATGGTAAAACGCTGATTGACATATGTGTTGTCGCATCTTCGGGACTTATGTAGTGCTGCGGCCATCGTATGGCCGCGCGAACTATGGAGGCGTGACGGAGCCGACATATCGGCTGTAAAGGAGCTCGCGGTACGGCATTTAGCGGGTATTGCGACTCAATATGCGAGCAGAGAACAAGCCTGAGTCAGAAACGAACTTCATCTAGTGTAAGTTGAATGTTCAGGTCTAGACCAGCATATTCGCCCGCGCGAATCCACGAAGATCAAAACGGGATGGTTGACGCGACCAGAGCAGCCATCTGGAAGGCGAAGAGATGAGAACAGGATTGTTGCGCAGTAGGCGTACGTACATTCAAACGGCGTAGCCATGGCGCGAATGGATGTAACCATCGGCACGTTACGCCGCAAGCCAACCCGCGGGGAGGAGGGTTCCATGATGTTCTACAAATGACCATTGCTTATGAACATAGGCCGAGAAGCTTCCTGATTTATCTTGAGGCGATTTTCAAGTTTTAGAGGCGAGTTGGCAGTCAAATGAGCCGCAATGCTGGCGACATGCGATCGTCGGATGGCGTGGTGAAGAAGTTCGAGGGCAAGCGGGCACAAATGGGATTCGCGTTTGGCCGGTGCAAACGCGTGTCGTACATAGTACATACAATACACCTTATATACACAGTAGAATAGGGGTAGATAAGGGCGCGGGTATCCGTCGGGGGGCGGGACCTGTGGCGCTCGTTCCGCGAGCTCGCCATCTTGACGCCAGGATTCCAACACGTGGCTCCGTCAAAATCCGAGTATCATCAAAGCATTCAACCTGAGAGGCGAACGAAGGGAAACACGAAGCGAAGGAAGTAGCGAAGACACAGAATAGACGTACGCGACGAGGCGGTATTTAAACGCCGCTAACCTTGTCCTTAGCGCCTATCGGTTGAAGCGTACGCGTCGGGCCGTACACCGTAGCCATCTCTCGATCCCAGTGTTCCACACCCTGCCATCTCAACCCTTTCCTTGATGTACCTGCTGGACGGTGTCCGAGAAGAGTGCAGCGCTATAGAGAGGTCGAATAAACGTGCATAGGATCCATGTGAGTAGTGTGCTCGACTTGTCCGATGAATGCAGAGTGTATGACTGGAACGGTGCGAACTGCGTCTGCGTTTCAGACGTAGGACGTTCCGACGTTCGCTCACCCTGTCCCATCTCTTACAATCTATTTGACATTCGGGTGCGACGCAGCGACGGCATGTCCAGATTATATTCCCTCGCGTAGACGAGGCCGACGGTACTCCCCTACGCGCCCCGCCTGCCATCCGAAGCTTCGTGTCAATCTAGCGATTAATCTCGAAGGCAGGTGACCAGTGCAATATCCTCCAGCAAGTTTCTTAGGCAATGCCCGTCTGCGCGGAAATGCATGTTCAGCTCAGCCTCTTTACTACCGCTATGGCCCTGACAGTTCAACGTCACGTATGTACTAATTCACCCTCCCGTAAATAGATGACCGACTCGGAGGCGGCTAAGATGAATCTGGTCGACCTTGCCTCCAACATCGCCTTGACAGGCACGGAAGGCCCAGCGGACTGGTACATGGACTCAACCGCGCTCCTCGCGGACGCCGACCACTGTCTACTCCAGGAGTCTCCATGAAGCTCACAAGAAACGTAGACCGGGGCACACAAGGCCTCATCGGCGACTTCATCACGCTCTTCAGCTGGCGCCTCTGCAGCGACCCTCCTTCGGAGAAGTATCCCTACGGGTACGGCAAGTCTGATATCATCGGCAAGGTCGCTTCCCCCCGGCGCGCTCGCCATCGAGTTCCACTCGTGGACTTTTCTTGAGGAAGTGCTGACTACCGCGACGGCTGCCATACGTCCCATGCTCCCACACGACATCCTCACGAGTATGCGACGTTGCGCAGGCCGTGCCCTCAATCGTCGGGGAGCACGTACACGTCCACTCACATGACCGTGAGGGACGTGGAGACGGGTTGCTGGACCCGAACGCGGCGTGGTTGTATCGTTGCGCAATACGGGTCGCGGACGAGGAGCGGAGCCCCATTCTGCTCGTGAATGCGGTGCACGAGAGCGACGTGTTCGGGAGCGCCGTCGCACTCGTAGCAATCCTAGGACACTAAGCCTGAGGTTCCCGCACTTGCGTCTGAGTCCTGTAGGTGAGCTCTCCCCCGTCTCCCTGGATATCTCATGACCGCTTATGGATCCCAGAGACCTTCGTGCGTTGCGCATGGGGGCAAGTACATTCGTCGACCTCATCGCAAACCCCGACAGCCAAGCAGCGCATCCGCGAGACGCTTATGAAGGCGCGAAGGGACGTGATCGCGGTGAGGGTGCGGCCCCGAGCGGTCAGCTCGGAGGAGGCTTCAATTAGCTTAGCCGTACTGTGGTGCATTTTGGAACCTTCACTCAACGGATTGTGTTGTGCACTTGACGGAAGCTTCGTGGCAAATGTCAATTGCTGGGCAGACAGTGAGCTCACTTGGGACAGCTGTCAAACATTATGGCAATACTAACCTCGTTGCGACACAATGTTGAGCGGCCGACGATTTTTCATGCCGGGAAAGAGCTTGCTCATCTCGTGGAACCAGAGTTTGGTTCGGCGCGGAGGAATGGGCAGTCCGCTCCCGATGACAATACCAGAACGAGGAAACGTGAGAAGAACCCGATCCAGCTCTGAGCATAGACGAATATCCTCCGAGTCACCGCCTAAGCGTTGCACGATGTTGCTGGGAAGGAAGTGAAGAGTGATAGTAACATCTGACAAGCCGTTCGGATAGATGTCTTTCAGTATCTCGATAAGTATCTCGTCGCTGAGAGACTTGGTCTTGGCCACTGGCTTCGTCTTGCAGCTTCGCTGCGATTGCGCAGGGAGTTGTGTCGACTTGGGCATGTCACGCTCACACTCGGGGCTGAGAAATCAGAAGCACGGATACTCACGCTGTTCACGCTGTTCGAGATGGCACTGGGGCGCGGGGTGGCCGTCGCGAAAGGGGAATTGTTGACTTGCGTTACGGCAGGCAAAGTCTTGCTAGGGGGCATCTTCGGCGCTGCGGGTTCGTGCGCATCTTGAGTAGCCTTATCGAAATCGATGTATCCCAGTTCAGGCGTGTTGGGAAAGACGCGGCTCATGTTCCCAAAGCAGTCCATGGCCGACAAGGCGAAGAACGCTACGGGCATGAACTGAATGCGCCGCAAAGCAGCTGTAGGCTTGCCCGATCTGTACGATATCGTGTACCTGTAGACTCGCGTGGAACTCGGGTGAATCATCATTTCCTTTCGCATTCCATACTACATGGTCAGACGCTATGCACGGTGGATCAAGAGTGCAGCAGTATCATGAGTGTCCACGGTGATCGAGAATTCGTTTGCGAAGGTTCCTAGGTCTTTGCCCGTCCACATGTCTTGGACCCTGAACCGACCAAAGCCGAGGCCCGGAACGTTTGCGAAGTCAAACGTCTTCGTGGCCGTTGTGTTAGTGTTGATGATAAAGACGTGCATTCCCTTCGAGGACCTCCCAGCGTAGAACTCGGGAGGCGAAGTGCTGGGAGCAGATGCTGTCGCGTTGAATGGTGTGGCCGGGGTTCCAACAATGGGGTCCTGGTGGAACGCGAGCAGTTCAGCGTTCTTGATTATGTCCAGCTGAGTCGAGTTGAGATTGTTGAGCTACAGGGTGGCATTGAGCGTGAGGTGTATAAGGATATGCGTAGTGAATGTGGCTTACATCGGTCCCGAGGAGGATGGGGCTCTTCATGAACGCCCATGCGGCGAAGTGGGTTCGCTGCTCCTGTAAGGTCAAGTCGCCGTTGCCGATCTCTATCATATCCCTGCAACCAAATTCGTTCTGTCGTATTCTCTTATACAGCGGCAGCCACTCACATATCGTTGTGGGAAAAGAAGTCGACTGAATCGAGATGCTGTGCGTTTGCCGCCAAGATGCTCGCTCGAGATGGAGCTCCAAGACGCGCTGATGTCGTTGGTCATGCGCCACGAGTGGCCCTGTGCAGCTATGTCACTCCCTGAACATTGTGGTCAAGAAAACCTGAGGGAAGCTCACCACGCGAGCGCCCCACTCCCACACGTTAGCGGTGCCCCAGATGCAGAGGCTGAAGTGGATGGGCTTCCCGGTCTGGTTCAGCGCCGCCCTGAGTCAAAAGCTGTGTTATGCATGCACCGCGAAGCAACCAACATAGACCTACGTCATTTGGCGGTAGCGAATAGCAGAGTTCGAGTTGCTGGCGCAAGTTCAGGCAAGGCAGTAGCCTGGGAGGGAGAGAGGTACGTACTACCAGTCGTCATCAGGCGGGGTCTGCGGACAGATGCGTTAGGGTCAATCTCACGACAAATATGCTTAAGGGACATACGGCGGCATCCGTCCAGTTGCTAGGAATGTTACAATTGTCTGGAGAAGAGAGGTCAGCGCCATGACGTTGGCAAGGAGTGGTTATCGACATACCATATTTGAGGTCTTCGAAAGAAGGAAGGAAGTCAGGTCATCGGACTAGAACTGCAAAGTATCGGAGGAGCGACTTACAGTCGACGCCCCACTCGATGAACGTCTCCGCGTCCAACGTTTCGTTTCCGAGAGAGGCGGGGAGCCCATCGCAGGTCTTCGCGCCAGCATCGCTATGGGCGCAAACGCCATGCTCAGCAGGGTGCTTTGTGCATAGTACGATCCAGCAAAATCCGACCTATATATCCCGAGCTTCAGGCCGAGGGCGTGCACCTGGTCAGCGATGCCGTTGATGCCACTCGGGAACTTGCTCGGTTCGGGCACGATCCGGCCCGTGGACGCGTCTCTGGTCTCACTCTGCCAGCAGTCCTACTCGGCAGAGAACGGTTTCAGCGAGCAAAGAGGATGGGAGGGGAGCTTGAGAGGGGACAACTGACGTCGATGTTTATGTACTCGTAGCCTGCATCAGCCAGGCCAAGGAAGATGAACTGGTTGGCAGCGTCAAGGAAAATGGTTTCGTTGATATCTGCTCAGAGGTGAGTCCGAGATCATTTTGAAAGGCACATAATGACGCTGAGAGGCAAACGTACTGCATGCGTGCCCGTTCCAGGAGTTCCAGCTAGACGGAGTCAGCAGGAATCAGCTTGTGACACGTTCGGGGACAAGGCTCATGCAGGATCTCACCCGAGAGCTGGCAACCTGCCTACTTGATGGGAGGGACCGACGGTAGGAGCAGTCGCGGCGATGCCTGTGAGGGTGCTGGTCGCAGCGGTCGACGTCGCGGAGGGAGCTGACGCATGTGCGGCTGCAGAGACGACGAGCGCCCCCAAGACGTAGGAGAAGAGACGGTGCAGAGACATCGCCATCGCGTTCGCTTTGCGATTACTAGCCTTCGAGCATCGCCAGTGGGGCTTTTATGTTGCTAGGATGATTCGCGAAGCAGTTCTTGTGACACGCTCACCATTCCTTCTAAAGCAACACGTGAGATGAAGTTTCCGCCCTTACATCACGGAACGCATGGACAGAAGTCTCAGCGCGATTTTGGGGTCATGAGTACGGGCATTCGAGGAAGTCTAGGGCGAGCGGGAAGCCTGCAGATCGTCTAGGTCGTCGAATATTGAGCCCGTCAATGCGTGGACGGAAGTCTCGGCCAGCGGGAAGCCTGCAAATTGTCTACGTCGTCGAATATAGGGCCCGTCGATGCATGGACGAAATCTCAACGCGATTCGGGGGTCATGATGGCGGGCATTCGAGGAAGTCTCGGCTAGCGGGAAGCCTGAAGATCGTCTAGGTCGTCAAAGAAAGGGCTCGTCAATACATCGATTCACTAACCTCAATTCGTGAGCAGGTCAGCGTTCGCTGTAGAGAGCAGTCCTACTAGTGTAGAACACGCAAGCGCCACAGCTTTGGAATGTAGTAGTGGGCCCGTTCAGGTCATGCCGTGTGCTGACCTCGATTTCGATGACATCACCTAGCTCCCCTGTCTTTGAGAACGGTTCCATGAATCATATTGAGAACTTGAGTAGCGCAGCTGGTTCCTCCGAGTAACATGACCATGGACACAGGCACATTACGGCACGCCGACAAGGCGCGTTCTCGTATGCAGTATGTGGAGCCCGCTATCCCCTCCGTCGTTCCCTCTGTTCTGATGTGAGTCAGGTGGCAGCCCGGTCGTCGGTGCTCGGGGCCATTTCCTAAAACGTTATCGCCCTTACATCGCATCGGACTGTCCATTTGGGTAGAGTGCGCGCCGGACGTAAAGCGGAACTTCTGCGCGCGATGAGTTGAACGCGTGGCACGTGACCGCGTTCGCAGCCATTCGCGGAAGCCTGGGAAGACAATCGGACAACGTGTGCAGCGGGTCTGTTGCCGCGCTGCATGCGCGTACTCCTTGTCCACCTACGACGACCATCCCAAATAAATCGCGCCTTTTGCGCCCACTTATCTGCTCTGCTGTGGCAGAGTGTCTCCCCCCGCCAAGCACCCAAGATAGGGAACGCAAGAGCCCAAGAACGCGCAAGGCCGGAAGGGAAGAGAACAAGTCATAAATACAGATCCTCGTGGAACGTACAGAATACACAGACATTCACCAATACTGATTTCGTTGGATGCAGCTCAGCGGCAGATCACGGTCTGAACTGGACGCTGTCTATCGGGACCGGGATGAATGCAGGCGACGGCCGCATCGCAGACCCAGAAGTCCTGTAAAAGCTGGTGCAAGCACAGTGCTTTCCTAGCGTGTACTAGTATACGCACGTCGGGTTGTTCGCCGTCTATGACGATCGTGAGAGTCTCAAGGACTTGAATGCCATGCGGGAGGAAGAGCGAGGGCAAGTCTAGCAACTTGAAGCCCTTTATGGCAAAACTGAGGTGTGTCATGGGGATGGCGGAGTGGGACAGAGACGCGAACACGCGCCGCAATGTGGTGAACATGTGCGCTGGGTCGTCGGGTGCATGTCTCATGGCATGTCGACTGGCGTCCATGCCGTACTCTGCGTCCCTGCCGTACCCTGCATCATCGAGCACGACTGTGTGGATGGGACGTCACACGATATCGCGGTATTTTGGCAAGAAGGCTGGCAGGTCTTGGTGTTTGCAGTGCAGCTCTTCCAGAACGGGGAACGCGGAGGGAGGCAGTGTGACATGCGAGTGGGGTGCCTCGGACGAGAGGTTGAGCTCGAGCTTGCGAACGCCCGGACTCACGGGGAGGCGGGAGAGGTTAGTTTCAGAGGGAAGACAAAGAGTCTGCTGAACGGGCCAGGAGTGTGCTGACGAGAAGAACGGGGTTGAATCGAAGGAGTCGGATGATCGGTGGCTGAGTTTGAGCGTCTCAAGGCGCATGGCAGTGCTGCCTAGTAGGTGGGTGATGAACGCCGTCATGTTGGGGGAAACGAGGGTTGGTAAGACCAAGTGGACAGTGCGAAGTCGGTATAGCAGCGGACAAAGGTTGGCAAATGGAAGGGATCTGGTGTCATGACCGATCCATAGAGCGGTCGGCATATACAGCTCGATGCTCTCCAGTGTCTGCGATGCCGTCGAGAGAAGCGCAGGTAGGGTATCGGGTTCGATGATAGAAGTCCGCAAGGCACTGAAACGCACCAGATTGGGCATCCGATACAAGCAGTCGAGTTCGAGTTTGAGGGAGTGGACAAGTTTGGCGAGGTCCCGCCCAAAGGCGCACTGTTTCGGCGTGAGTCTCAGCGTCCTGAGACAGTTCTCAACCTGAGCCCCGCTGCGACATCGATTTCGAATTCGGTCGGGTAGCATGATCGTGTGATATAAGCGGGGAGTAAGAGGCCCATTGAGAAGGGTGCTCGTCAGAAGGATGGAGCAATAGTCTTCGTGTCGAATCTCCTCCCCAATGTGCAGGATGAGCTCGATAGGGAAGCGTAGAATCTGCATAGGTGCCGCGTGAAGTATCCTCTTGATGGTGTTGAAGAAAGCCAAGCATAATGTCTATGCCCGCGATTAGGAGTATCTGCACGTGGCCGCAGCTAGCCCTGGTTAGTTATGACTCGTGTCAATTGCGAGAATGCTGCTATGGCGCGATGGGGTTTGTCACCTTGTGAGTTGACGACTCTACATAAGGGACAACCCAACCTACCATAGCGCCATCCACCCCATGCATGCTCGGAGACGAGAGGGAAGACGATGTCGGCAGAGTAGCGCTGGCGCTGAGCACAACGTGGGCGTACATAGCACTACGTCATTGGCAGAGTGTTCACCGTCCGAGTCCTCCAAGTACTGGCCGCTTGGCCGTCTCATGACTTCAATAGCCTCTGTCCGCTCCCAGATACCCGCCGACAACGGTGCTCAATCAGTCTTCGCCCACGACGGCGTTTTCGTCCCCACGACCTCGCTCAGGTACAAACCACGACTGCGCCCTGACGTGGAAGGCACTCACTGCCCAACGCCACGACACAACCAGAGATGCTCAGGCGCAGCGCCGCATATCGAGCCCACTCTTCTCTGCCTTGTCTCTCTGACTCCTTCAACCGAACATTGCGTGTCCCTGCCCTCGTACACATACCGCAGACACTGACCACACCCAGCGGTGCTTGCTGGCGGCGCCGCTCCCGAAATACAACCGACGCGACCCGTGCGATCGCGACATCCGCCTTCTCTCGGTCTCGCAGCCCACCTTCTAGTCCTGCTTCCCTTGCCTCTCTCTTCCTCCTGCCAGCAACTCATATGTCGACACTCACCACGCGCCGTGCGCACTCTACGCAGTCTAAGGGCAAGGGGCCCGAACGCGGCACGGAGTCGCACGACCATGAACACGAGCACAGTCACGACGCCCACTCGCATACGCACTCTCATACGCACACGCACTCCCACGGTTTCTTCAGGTCTCTTGTGCACAGGCATGACCATAGCGACGATGGACACGCGAAGGATCCGGAGCAGATTGTGCAGGCATTGAAGGGAGAAGGTACGTCGTCGCATCAAGCAGCCATCCAATCCCCCATCCATGTCTTTGGCCTCGTTCAGTGTTCCCCCCGCCTTGGTTCTCATCATGTCATGCTAACCTTGCGCTGACTGGCCCTCCGGTAAATAGGCGATCGAGGTAGCAAGATCACATTGGTCGGCCTCGCCTCCAATGTAGTCCTTACAGGCGCGAAAGGCGCAGCCGGCTGGTACATGAACTCGGCCGCGCTCCTCGCGGACGCGGGTCACTGTCTGGGCGGTGCGTCCTCTTTCCTACCCGCTTCCCTCAAGCTCAAAGCGAACGTAGTCCGCCCCACGTAAGACCTCATCGGAGATTTCATCACGCTGTTCAGCTGGCGTCTCTCCCGCCAGCCGCCCTCGGAGAAGTATCCTTATGGGTACGGCAAGTTCGAAGTCCTTGGTACAACCGTTGTCTCCATCCTGCTCACTGGGGGCGCGCTCGGCATCGGGCTCCACTCGTGGACCTTGCTTATGGACGTCCTGTCGACCGCGACTGTAACTATGGGCCCGGGGCCCTTGCACGATGTCCTGGCGCGAATACTTGACGTTGCGCAGGCTGTGCCCTCGATCGCGGCGGAGCATGCGCACGTCCACTCACATGGTCATGAAGGACATGGAGATGGGCTGCTGGACCCGAACGCGGCGTGGTTCGCGGGGGTGAGCGTGGTGGCGAAGGAGTGGCTGTATCGCATCACAAAGCGGGTTGCAGACGAGGAGCGGAGCCCGGTCCTGCTCGCGAACGCGGTGCACCATCGGAGCGACGCGTTTGGGAGCGCGGTCGCATTCGTCGCGATCCTAGGCAACTGGTGGTTCCCTCACTTGCCTTTAGATCCGATAGGAGGTGAGTCATGGTAGGCTGGCTGTACACGCGAGATCTGACGGGGCGTTGCGACAGGCCTCATCGTGTCGGTGCTCATCTTCCAACAGGGTTGGGGGCTGCTCAAGACTGCGTTCCGCCAACTTACCGATGCAGGGGTCTCGCCCACGACGAAAGCAGTTCTGTTCGACGCCCTCCGCCCTCTCCTTCCCTCTTCCTCCCCTCCTGATGCTATGCTCTCGGACGGGCAGTCACGACCTACCACGCAGACGCTTTTAGGCATCAGCGACCTCCGGGCGATGCGCACTGGGGCGAACATGTTCGTCGACCTCACAGCGCACGTGCCCGCGCAGCTGAGCGTGAATGAAGCGACGGCCATCGAACAGCGCATCCGCGACGCGCTTGTGAAGGCGCGAAGGGACGTGAAGGAGGTGAGGGTGCGGTTCCGGGCGGTCGGTTCGGAGGAGGCTTGAGCTTGACCCCGAGAGAGAGAGACTGTACTATGGTGTATTTCCACCGTAATTTTAGGAATCTGTCTGTGTTTTTGTCTTCATTATCTATGGGAGGATACATATTGGAAGGCGTTGTGAATGTTTGCCAAGGCGGGTACTTAAGTGAACCTTTCGAGCGCTTCGATGGCGGAGTGTGGTAGGTGGAATGCGGCCCGGGTGCTCCGCAGCAGTCAGCCCACTTCGTGTGTGCCCTCATCACCCATGGCCCTCACCCATGTACACCACCCTCATACACGACAGGCATTGGCCAATGTTCCGGACCCGAACTGGGACAGAGAAATGGCCTGGGAATGGATGCCTGTCACAAGTAATGTCCCAAAGCCTAGCTCTGGACCTGAGCCAGCGGGCGCTAAAACCCCTGAAAAGGAATACCAGTGCTGACAAAGCGCATGACATAAGCGTTTATGCTCCTTATTTGAGGGTCTGGAGTGGCAATATCCTATATATGGTATCAGAGCGCCGGCTGGCTCAGGTCCGGAGCTAGGCTTTGGGACATTAC